CTCCCTCTCGGGTTTTTAATCTCCTGGCAAGTCCACGGGCTCGTTCTGTCCCGTCTGTTTCTTTGCAGCCCAGAGACTTGCTTGGCCTCGTGAGCATCTTATTCCTTGCCAACACAAGGACGGCACTGCCAGCCCAGCTTACGGTGCTGCTAGCCTGGTTTGACAGAAGGTTTAGTTACGCTCTCTTGAAGTGCCACTTACGGACAACTTGCTTTTACTGTCTCACCGTTTCGGGATGTGTAAACTTCTGCATCGGTATCCCCCCTTTCTCCGGGGACCGCTTAATTAAGAAAAAATAGTGTTTGTTCTATCTTTCCATTCAGTCATTTTACAACGGTGCTATTATCTACTTAACGATGTTACTTATGAGTCTAGTGCAATATGTACCTGTAAACGTGCACTCCTCCAGGTGCCACTCTGTGACTTAGGGTAAAAAAAAAAAAAAAAAAAAAATCACATTTGTCTGTTGTTACCACTTTGTTTCACTAATGCTTGAAATGTTACTGACCTGAGTATGAGCTACAAGGTTCCGGGAAAGGTACGGACAGATCCTGACCCTTGGCTGCTCTGTCCTTTGCTAAAGGGAGCAGCTGAACCCTGTTGCTTTGCAGATTTTCTCACGGTAGAATAGTCACTGCCACTTGCACTTACAGTAAAGCGATTCTTCTCATCCCAGGCAAGTAGCACGCTGCTGAAGTTAATCCCCACACATCACACTGCGTGTCCCTCTGCAAAGGCACATCCCTGAGAAAACACCAACAATTTGGTCACCAGCTGAGCAACTAGTACCCTTCGATTTTCCTAAAGCCTGTTCTAGGGCCAAAGAAGTGTAGCAAGAATGGGACGTGGGGTTGTTCTCCAGATGAACTGAACAAGATATTTAAGCAACTTTTATTTTTCTGTTTTGTTTGTTTGTTTGTCTCCTCAAGCCTGTCCTGTGTTTCTGCCTCTTGCCATCCAGGGCTTCCTATTAAAAACACACCTACCCTGGGAAATTAGGGAAAAAATTTAAAAAAAAAAAAAAAAAGAAATTGAAAGTTGAAAGGCCAGTGCTTCAGCATCACCCTGCTGGGGCTGGTGTCCCCCTCCCGGGGATTTTCTCCACAAAAAGCTGCAAGTTTAATGTAAAGATGAAATGTTCTCGAGGTGAAAGGCTGCCCCAGTGTTTCCCATCCCACTGGACGTTTCTAACTCCTAAAGGCAAGGGGGTGTCAGGGCCATTCGGGTTTTGGTCGCAAGGGGTTATTTCCCAGCAGGAAGAGGAACCACACACAGAGAGTCCCTACAATTAGAAGTGGAAGCTCAGATGTTTTCTTCACGCCCAGGCTCAGGAGGAGGGTGCTGGGACGGGCCCGTCTCTCCTCTATGGAAGCGCTGTTCCTGGGGAGAGCAGACACCAAGCGGTGCTGGTGCCCGGCGCGGCCCCGGCGGCACGGGGTCCGGTCCCACCAGGCATGCACACTACCTGCAGCAGGGCAGGAGCTTCTCGCGCCCCAGGGCGGAGGCTTCGTCCTGTTCCTCAGCAAAGCGATTTATTTATACTGTGTTCTAACCTGCATTCCATCTCTTTTTGTCCTGTTTGGTTTTATTCCAAACTTCTTGTTCTAGCTGGCAAAACGCGATGACAAAAATCCCCACAATAACCACACCGAGAGGTGAACTCGTTCAGTGCTGTAGATATTGTTTCGCAACTTCACTTTCCCTTCATGTGCAGAGCATAAACCATAATCAACCTTCCGCAGCTATATAACCTGTTACAGCTACACGGCATTGAAAGGCAAAGATATTACACCCACATAGAGCTAGGCTAGAGAAAACGATGCACAGGATGAGGGAGGCTCTTCGCTAAACCGGACACTGTCAGGAAGATTTTTTTTTTCTGGAGTACAGAGTACGTGATATTCGCCAGCAGAAAGGATTATTTTCTGTCGTGTGTGTGAGCGCATGGGATTTATGGTTTCAATCACAATAATAAAAAAGGTTGGGTTGGATGAAGTATGTCTATTTTTAATTATGAAAACTGCATTACAATGTGCATTTTTATATACAAATTCTTACTATTTTTTTTAAATTTGCCTCTAGTATCTTCATTTCTAACCTAGTATATAGAGGTTTTTAGTTTTGTAAATACTTATTACATGCACTGTCTGTCATAGTAAAAGTTGGTTTAAAATGCACTCTTTGTGATCAGAAACTGGCCTTCTCTTCGGAACTAAAACTACAGTACTTGATTGTATTGACAAAACATCAATAAAACTTATTGTACAAAAAGTGGGCTCAGCTGTGCCTTTGTCCTGTGACTAAGGGGCTTGCTCAGCCTTGCTGGTGACACCATTCATACAGACCTCTTGCACCGCATTTCCTCCTCAAATCCAGCTCAACCCTTCCCAGCAGTCTAGCAGATTTGCTTGCGAATGAATATTCTATGTAGGAAGGTACTGCACATTTCTTGTGATTCAGGAAAAGATCTCTGTCTCCAGAAGTTCATTTTTAAAACAGGATGAAACCCAGACCCTTCCAGACAGGCAATTATTAGTGTGAGGAATTTAAGTCAAGGTGTTGGGGATTCCCTTTCCCTCTGTGTTTTCTCCATTACACTTTTTTTTGCTACGTTACACAACCTTGTCTACAGCCAACCTCCATGTCCTGAACAGCAAAACCAGTTCAGCAGCACAGAGAAGAAATGGGGAATCACTTTCAGGGGCTAAAAGTAAAAAGAATAAAGAGAAGAAAATAGGTTTTCCCACCTGATCTGTTACCGGGAAGAGGAGCTGTTCCTTGTTCCAGAGAAGCCTGGCTGCCGCGCTGGCAGACTCCCCCAAAAGCTGACTGTGAAGAACAAGCGCTGCTCCTGCTGCAAGCTGCGGCAGTGCCCGGCACGCTCCCTGCTCTCTGCACCATCGCCGCACGGACTCCAGCAGCTGAACTCCCTCCACGCTGCTCCTCGCTGCAAACAACAGCAAAGGGAAAGGGCTCCAGCAAACCTCCCTGCCAACACCCGCCAGCGATGCCTCCCGCTCACCCCGCTGCTAACGAGAACCCCGGGCTCTGACACCCTTCAGCCTCCCCGCACTGCTCACGGGCAGAGCAGCCACTGAGAGCAGCTTTCAGAGCAGATTCCAGCGCTGAAACTCACCCCAAATGCAGCAGAGTCCTGGCTACACGCAGGATGTCTCTAACCAGCACCGAACTGCTTCCATTCTGCTTGCTACAGAAAGATTTCAAGAACCCACAATGAAGTAGTTTCAGGTTGAGTTTCACAGTGAAGTGCAGGGTGGGGAGAAACAGCCCAAAGGTTTTCATACGATTCCTCGTCATTTCGTACAGAAACACAACTTCGTGACTTGAATGAAGACAGGAGCAGTAGCTAATTAACAAAGATAACTAAGGGATTTTATTAATACAGAGAAGAGCTCTTCTGCTCTTCATGAGTTCCAAATGTTTAAAATTATAAGGCTGCTTTAAAAGGAAAATATCTAATTTTAAATAATTCTGTTAATATGTTCACACCTCTGGCAGAGTAAGGTGAAAAACCTGACATGTTACATCTCAGACCTGCAGCAAAATACAGAAATATACAACAGACCAAAATTCCACATGTTCTCAGGACAAGACACTCATCTGCACAAGGAGAACCCATGAAAGCACCACACAGAACACAGGCACTCGAAGGAAGCAGAGTACAGGAGAAGCTGGAATGACCCACCGCAGCCGGATTTCCAGGTGCATGCAGCCTGACACAGCACGGCGTGCCGATGCTGACAGGGAGCAAGCTCTGAGCAGAACAGTCACTTCCCAGCGTCACAAGAAATACCAGAGAGATTATGGAGACTTACATTGTCACATTCAAATCGATAAACATTTCCATATGAGGACTGCTTGTCTCCTTCTTTTTGTTTTCAATTGTTAAAAGCTTTTAACCGTTTTCAGACACGCCATACCCACGCTGTTACTGCCTTTTGAGCAGCTCCATTGGGCAAAGGTTTTAAATGTGAAACTCTGGAACACCACAGCTTTGAGAGAATATTCCTGGCCACCAGGACAGCTTCAAATGCACAAATTCTTTTGAACTCTGATTAATTCAGGTTTCACAACTATCTCCACTCAGATTTAAACAGCAAACTCACTTGGTGCTCTGGGCATACCTAGGACAGGATTGAACACGCAGGATGCCAGGACTAGGAACAACGGAAATGGCCAGAGTAGCCACAGCGATGTGAAAGCTACGTAAGGGAACACAAAAGGCAATAAATCAGGACAGTGCCAGGTGGGTCACAGAGCAGGGGACACCAAAGGAGCAGCAAGTGGTTCCACCCTCTGCCAGCAGGAACCATGAGCCAACTGGGATTCTGTCTGCACGCACCGAAGGCGTTTCCCACATCACCACTGGTGACGCAAAGAAATCCCTTCTCCCATCTCTGGCACTTTTCATTCTGCCTTTAAGGCAGATCTGGGAGTTCACCCTCCAGCAACCTCTGCACAACACAGGTGGTAACCCGGGCCACCAAGCAGGATGGTGCCACCAAGCAGGACATCCTCCAGGCTCCCAGGGACATGCCTCTCTGATGACTGGAGTTTTGAGAGGGGTGCGGAGCCAGGTCACTAACAACCAGAACAAAAGCCAGGGCAGACAGGAGCAGAGGAGAGCAGCAAGGAGTCGGTGGGTTCAGACACCCACCTAGTGACTGCACTGATAAAATGATATAATGGCGTAAGGGTGGGAAAAGCAAGCAGCAGCAGTCTTATGAAAAACCAGACGCTCCTGTACACTTTGGAGGAGATGCACCCACTGTCCGAGGCGCCGCATGCAGCTACCTCCCAGCTGAACCAGAACGGCAGGGTGCGTCTCCTCTCCTCCAAACCAGCTCCCACTTCCAGCTCTCAGCTCGCCGCAGCAGGGAGCTTTCTTGCGTGGAGGCTCCCTGGCCTCTGCAGACAGCGCGGATCCACGCAGAGGTGACGACCCGCTTTGCCTTCAGCAAACACACTCCCCGTGGAGCTCAGAGCCGCTGGCAGTAGAGTTCATACAAGCTATTTGCCAGCTTCTGTGTCTCTTGGAAAGCTTCGCAGCTCTGCTCCCAGCTTGGGGGTATCTGTTCCTCCCCGTAATAAGCCCCCGCAATGGCTCCTGCCATGGTGGCAATGGTGTCTGTGTCTCCACCCAGAGAGATGCAGTAGATGATGGTCCTCTGCAGGTTGTTGTAGTGATCAGGGATATCTGGGTCAGCTTCCATACAGCGCAGGAAGGAGTAAATCGCAGTGGGGACGGACCGCAAAGCCGCAATGCCGTTGCCTGTTAACAAAACCAATCACCTTCAGTGCTGCAGAACACTTGTTTCTTGCTCCCTGCAGAAGAACCTTTTCCCTTCAAACTGCAACTTCCTATCGCCAGCTACCCTCACTACCGGTGTCACCGATTTTATCACAACAAGGGGAAAAAGTTTGCATCTCAGAAGAGGAACCTCCCCATAGTTCCCCAGTACCACGCGCATCTTGGAGACCAGCTCCCAGCTACCCCCGTGTGTCTGGCAACACACAGCTACCCGCTCCCAGCCAGCATGAAGAGCTGAGAGTCACTGAGACAAGAGATCCCAGAATACTAAGAAACGTTATGTGTGATAGTTTTCCTTAGCAAGACTTCTTTCCCCACCAATACAGAGTGGGATTCACTGGGTTATGACTCAGAGAATCACTGACCGGCGAGCAGAGGCAGCCTGTCCAGCACATTCAGTGCCTGCCAAGCAGCAGAGGCTGAAGGGACAAGCTGGGGGAGGACACATCAACCAGGCCTGCTGAGTTAGTCCTGCTTCCAGCTCTCTCCTACCACTTGTAGTGAGAAAGGTACTTACCTAGTTCAAACAACACGTCTGCTTTGGGAACGCTGCTGAGCTCCAGAAATTCCTTTATTTTCTTTAGACGCCTTGAAAATGGTAAATCCTCGAATCCTAGCCTGGAAACAAGGGTACAGTGAGAAAGAGAGAATGCGAAGGGCCAGAATAAGCTGTACACTGCAGAGCCTCATGGCTACTTACGCTCGGGCGTCCGTAAGAGACTTATCGTCTGCCTCCACATCTTCCATGTGGCTGATGAGCTGCTCCAGGAAGGTCTCCTTGCTGAGCTCTCCCTGCAGGGCGAGGTGCACGGCCAGGGCCTGCAGGATGGCCCCGTTGTAGCCCAGGGAGTTGGCGTGGGTTAACTCAGCACTCAGCTTCGCAAACTGCGAATGAAACACATTGTGTGAGGCTCGCCCGACGGCACAGACCCCCAGAGCCCAGGTGCCCAAAGGAGCTGAACGGTACCTTCTTAACATCCTGGACATCGGAGTACACGAGCGGGATGCCTGCCACCCTCATGGCACCGCCGTTGCCATAGGAGCCTTTCCCGTTAAACTGGGCTCTGGCCGGTTCGAACACGTCGCTGCACTTGGGGCTCAGGAGCTTCTTGAAGACATTGACAACAGCCATCCCGTAGCCCCGGTTGGGTTCCTTCTTGTACTCCTCAGCAAACCTGCCGTGGGCAAGAGAGCAGCAGTTAGGCAGGTGAGAAAAAACGCATGGGATGTTTGGTCTGTTACTGGAGGTTGCAAAGAGGTTGTACAAAGCCACTTGAAGAAGGGAGTTAATAACCTGCGGGTAATTCAGCAACAGGGTTCAAGTGATTCCGTTCTGTATGGAAAGAGTCCAGTTCCCAAAGACTGGTGTGGAAGGAGGAAAGGTTGTACAAACATCACCTTCCTCACCCCACTTGTTTCCATCTCCACTTTGCCTTGAAATAGAAGCAAACTGGAAACATTTCTGTGGGTCACAACCACAAAGAAAGTCTTTTGTTCAAGTTCAATGGAAGAGTTTTCTAAACAAATAAATATTCTCCCTTAAGTGGAACCAAATGCTACCAGGGCTGTGGATTCAAAAGGGAAATAGATCATAAACAAACTGAAGCTGGCCTCACTAATATTCACTAACTAAATTAAGGGAAGTAAAAACATAAATAGCAACAAATAAACATGAAAGGAAATGCTTCTGGAATTTCTAAGTATTGTCCTCCACAGAGGTGAACACACAGCTGCCATACCGCACGTCCCGTCCTGCTTCACTTCAGAGCAGACTCTGAACCCACAGTAAAGCCAATGCTGCTGCATGTTCCAGGACAGTGCAAAGCACACAATAAATTACAGGATTAACCATCGCTTTTCTAATTTTTTTTCCTCCACAAATTACCAATGCCTTTGCCTTAGCCCCGTCCCCTTCCACAGAAAGTTATAGGGACTACTTAATTTTAAGAAAGCGTTGCCTCCACCAGTAAATGTCAACACCCTGGCTGCCAAGCTGGCTGCGGTCCTTACCTCTTGGCCATATCAACCTCATCAAACTCTCGCTTGGCAAGCAGGGACTGCACCACCGACCTGCTCATGGCCGTGTCGTCCGTGTACGAAAGCGTTTCTAAAACACAAGGTCAAAACATAACGTGACCATCCAGGGACAGACTCTCCTCCTTTCCTTCTCCGCTTTCAGCGCTTCCCTACTCTCCAAGGCCTGATTATCTGTAGAGCTGGAGTTAAATCATTCACAGAGGTTCCCCAGCACTCTGAGCTCATCAGGAGCCACAGTCACGAGAGTTAAGAACGCGCAGAGCAAGACAGATGCACCCACAGCAAGAATGAGACAAAGTATTTCAACATTAGTAAGAACCACGAGAAAATGTTTGATATCCACAGTCACACGTGGACAGGTGAGAGATGAAGCTCCTTCTCAAGGAGTCTACAGCAAACACTGACAAGCAGAGAGGCACAGCTGCATTTCTGGACAAGACCGATTGCCTTTAAAATCCCACGGGAAGGGTTTACAGGGCTTGCTGCACTGCTCAGAACCCCAACACAAATCCATCATCCCTCGCTAAGAGTAAAATAACCGTCCTTGCACTTCTCTTACCCTGCTCCTTGTCATTCCTTGCTGACACCCCTGTGCTGCAACACCCCGGTTCTCAGCAGGAGCAGCGCAGGCCGAGCACAGCAAACACCGCATCCCCCCCAGCACCCATGGGGGGAACCAGGAGCCGCCCTGGGGGAGCCGCAACCTGGGCACAGCTTCAGCAAGGTCACCCTCACCCGGGGGGAGGACAAACCCCACAGCGCAGGGAGCACACTCCAGGGCT